GCATTCGGTGCAGTCAGGATAATATCCCCGTCTCTCAAGGCTCGATGCTTAGATCCAACGATTTTTAATATCGTCGAACATTCTACAGTCGACTTTTACGCAGAGACTTTTACCATTCTGACATTCCTCGTATTCCGAACTCAGAAATCAGTCGTCGTGGTGGCATAACTATATTTTCGTGTTTTTATAGCACGCTTATAAAAAAAAAAATCATCGTCGATGATAAAATGTCGATATTATCTCAACGAGTTTATTAAGTCGTCATGAGTTAATTAAAGCTACTTAGAATCTCTATTCTTCTACTGGTATCGCCTCCTCATCTACACGTGGCTCGCATAGAAGTGAGACTTCTCTACGCATTACTCGTGCGAGATCACACTCGACCTTCTGAATGCCGTGAGCGGGGACGACCTTCGTTTTAGGGTTGCGGTCCCCGGGTGCTCGATGATGATTTCAGGCCGTCCCACTTCTCATTACGATACTTAGATTCGACTGCTAGAATGGTAAGTGGGTCACGCGTAAAAGTAACTGTTACGGCAGCGACGTTTCGTGTCAGTCGCGACTGACCGCGGCGCGATGCAACACCACCTTAGGCCGGAAAACCGCGTACGTGTGTATGTCACACACACACACACACACACACACACACACACACACACACACACACACACACACACACACACACACACACACACACACACACACACACAGAGTGTGTACATATGTAAACGGAGGCTCAAGGAGGAAATGTTCACCGAGAAGACAATAACGCGCAAGAGAACTTCCGCCTCTGTAATTCGTCCCTGAAGGCAAACGTCATTTGTCCTCTATTTTTTTTGACATAAATTAAAAAGATTATGAAACGATCCCCCCCCTCCCCCCGCTCCCTCTCTCCAATGGCCACCATCGGGAACGCTGTTCCGTATTTTTGCCATGCTCTGCATTTAAACGTGGTCTGTTACTTTTTACGAACCCGGACATCGTATATATATATATCTCGACGGAGATACCGACTTTAATTTCAATTCGCTTCAATTCCATCCGCTCGATTATATTACTACTGTAGAAAAGAAATAACCGCACATTCTACATTGTAAAAGTTACCTTTTTTTTGCCACGTATAACGTAATGAGAGTTGACTCACGCCATTGCCTTGCGCACTTGTGCAATCGGTGAAAACAAAGTTTACAAAATCACCCGTGATCCGATCGAACGTCCGATCGATCGGCCATCATGACGGATCAACGAAATTTTTCGAGATTCAAATAACGACTTGACGACAATCCTCATTATCGCCAGTTGCGATAATCCTATCGCAAAATTTCCGAAATTTTGCGCCGAATATCGAATAAAGGTTCATTCGCGATTAGTGTCTTTTCGTCGAGCATGGCATTACCGAGAAAAGAGCGCGTTTTCCGGAATCTCCGTCAGTCCGTGTGATCGACGAATTCGCGGAACACGCCCTTCCGTACTCTCCGAGGACCCGGCGAGGTCTTTCCTCTGCGACAATAACGCGCCATATTCCCCGGGTAAAACCTATATATGTATTATATCCGCACCTATATACCAAGCGGGTGCTCTAAGAAACCAAGTGAAAGGCAACAATGTGAAGGCGAGCGTTCGCACATATACACGCATACATTACGCGCGCGCGCACGTACACACGTAACACACATACACGCCATCGAGAGCACGTGCGCAACTTATACGAATACGCATACGAATCCGCGAAAGAGAAAAAAAAAAGATCGTCTTGCTGTCGGCTAAAAATCGTGAGTTTCTCTGTAAATACAGAGACTCTCCCGGGTATCGTTCATGATAAAATTACACGAGAGGAGGCAAGCGGCGAGATTCACGATCGGAGGAGAGAAAAAGACAGGAAGGAGGGAGGGAGGATACGGACGACGTGGCGCGATGCATACGTGTCAAAGTCGTATGTTTCTACGTATCGGGGAGGCCCGATCGTCGATCGTCGTGCACGTATCGTGCCCGATCGTGCCGAGCATTCGCTGCTATACATGAAATCGCTCATTGTGAATGCACACACATGTACACCCCCCTCCCCCCACCACACACACACACACACACACGACGAAATGCACATGCACTGCGCCTGCCTGCCTGCTGCGCGATTCAGACGGGTGTTGCACGAGGAGAAGGCCCGAGCGGAGATCGGTTCTCCCTGAATACGTCAGCCGCGACAAGGACGTCCGCTAAACGGCGAATTATACTGGAATAATCGCTCCGCGTTCCTAGCACCCGTGGCCCCGGAACGGATGTGGAAAATGAAGAGAGATGAAAAAGACGCATGGGGGAGGAGGGGTGCGTCGAACGGATTTTCCTTTGTCAAACCCGAATGCGTTTATATTGCGATTAATCGGAGACGTAACGAAGCCTATCGAAGAGATTGTAAATGTCTCTTCTCCCTTTCAAGATAACAATAAACCTGATCCAATCGTTCAATTAAGAAATGGGATCTTACGAGGTTATTTTGAACGTATACATGTGTAGTGACTGTATGCGGTGAGTATCTGAAATTTTTGTTAATTGTAATATTAGAAAATTATAGATTCTACTCTCCGAGAATTCGCGAGATCCACTCGTGACGCGTTATCCTTAAGGAATAAATTGCCAGACATCGTCGAATGTGGGCCCTAAGGCAGACAGCTAGTACGCAAAGGTCAACTCTGACGCATTGATCTTCAGGATCTCTAACAATGAAAGATTGTCAAAGATCAGAATAAGATGGAAGAAGGTTAAACCTCAATGGAAGAAATGAAAAATTGAAGAAGAAAATTGTAGCTTTTATCGATTATAAAATATGAATATATGAATGAATAAGAAATTAATGCGAATCATATTGCAATAATAAGAACAACTAACGTAAGCTTCCAAGGAGTCCTACCAAGAAATTTTAAAATTCCAATTGCGCAATTTATACGTTTCTGTATTTTCCCCGGGTATTCGAGATCCGAGGGGATGAGAGTTGTTTTCCAACGCAGCTTCCGAGAATTAATTACGATACTGTAACTCGAGATTAATCACGTAAGAGTAATCTCTGAAAAAGAAATTAATTCGAGATGATAGTCTCGCAAATCACAGTTGAAAAAAGCCAAGTCGCTTCGACGATCGACGCTTCGATCTTTGTTCTCTTTCAAACTGGTGGAATTTGTTTTCTCGGTCTTCTTGGAATTGACGATGGCAGATTCATCCTGTCGAATTTGATTTCGCGCGATCCGTTGCAACGCAGGCAAGCGATATAACGACGACCACACCCGAGAGCAAGGGGAAGCCCGATGAAGGACGAGGAGAACAGGTCAATTACCTCCAGATCACCGAGAGAGATTTCGTATCGACAATCAGCCGTGGCTGTTAAAAAACGCTAGTGGCATATGGCAATTACAGCGTTCTTTTTAAATATTGCCCAAAGGCCGTTTTTTTCGAGCGAGCATAAATAATCCGTCGTAAACGCGCCCCGATGATTAAGCTTTTGTCAAACGGATAGAAAGGTGAATTTCATCTCCGGTCAATCCGTGTTAAATATAAATCCAAATTTATGCCGGCATGACGAATCAAATCAAAATTAGCGACTAATTTTTAGATCATAAAGATAAAATATTTATTTAACCATTTAAAAAAAAATAGCTAATGCTATCAATCTGAAATGTATATTTAACTAAAGACATAATATGTTTAATATATATTTTTTTAACGATAAATTACCGATCTAATTAAATTTTGAAAAGTGTTGTTAATACACCGTGATTAAAATTTAATTAATCTCAATTAAGTTAAGCAAAGTAACGTGTACGAAGTAACGTGACTCTACATTTTTTTCGTATCTTTCCACGCAAAAGTATAAATATGGCAAAAGTATAAATATTCAGAGTTTAGGAAGGTTTGAGAGATTAAACGACGATGGCGACGATGGCGGCGACGGCGGCGAGAGAAAATGGTGTATAACCTTGCTTGAACGACCTCGATCGCCTTCACCGAGGAAACCTCCGGTGTGTGGAGCCGTGACGAACACACGTACAACACGCATACATCCACGTACATACATACATACATACACGTGATCTTGCGACCGCTCAACCGGCTGAGAGATCGAGCTCGCGACGTCGGCTGCGCTGCTGCCATCGCGAGATCTTTTTCGCGTGTATGTTCGACGTGTCCGATAATTGTCGTAACGATGACGGTGAATATATTCAAATAAAGAGGAGTAAAATTTCGCGGCACAAGTTCGTAATAAGAATACCATGAATTATGGGGAAAAGTAGACGCCTCCGGTTTGCAGCCGAGGCTAAACTAACCCGAAAATATCGCTAAATAATTTAAACGACTGTATTAAGCTTGTGTTCGTGAATTAAGAGAAAAATGCTGACGTATGTCGACGAAGCATTCGCGCACTCGCTCGCACCTCTCACTCTCACTTTTTTTTTTTTCATCCAAAGAAAATTTCACCGTTTCTTCCTCTCGGTCGCTCTATAATCTCCTTCCCACTCTAATGTTATACTGGATTTTAAGTAACCGGCGAAATCCGGCGGTGGTCCTTTTACCGCGATCCATTTCGACTACAGAGATTTCTGGGACGAATGTACAGGTCGATTCACGGAGATACGAAACCTCGCCTCTACCTCTCGCGATCACGAGCGAGACGGAAAAAGAAGTCATTATTGATAATCGCGCGTTAACGTCACAGGTACTAACTAGCGATTCAAAGAAACACGATGGCTTACGTAGTCGATAGTTTTAGCAAACGAATCTAAGATAAGCAGCTGTTATTTTTCCACAAGTGGAATTTTTTTTTTAAACGGAAGATTTAAAATCCCGGTATCTGTTTGCGACCCGCGAACGTTCTATTATCTCTAATCTGCTCTTATCTTTGCACATGATCGACCGATAACACGTCGGATTCAATGTCGTAACTTCCATACGGGAAGTTTTGACGTATCGATAGGGTATGAGTATCGATAGGAAGGAAAATTGCTTTTACTCACCCCTTCATTTCCTAGGAACTGTATAGTAGGTTTCTCGCTAATCCTCAACTGAAACAGAAAAAAAAAGTCGAGATTATTTATATTCTTCGTAAATATAGATAAAATGGTGAAGTCTAACGAGTGGAAAAGTCGTATCTCTTAGATTCTTATTTCCACCATCTCGCGTCTGTCGTCTGCCGCGCTATAAAATTTAAAAACTACGCGAGAAATAATAATGATACACCATAAAAAGAATATTAAACGTCAACGAGATTAATTCTCGGGTCGATAAGATACGCGGATGAAGCGGATTGGAAAGCGAAGCCGTATCGCGTGGTATTCTGATCGCGAACGCTTATCACGCAAAGTGTTACAACAGTTAACGCAAACGTGGGGGTCGATTAGCGTAATTACCCGGTCGTTGTTACCTATTGCTCGTCCAACTAAGTATGAGCAACGAGCGGCGCGCTGGTAATCGGCGAAGCCAGCGCGTGCGATCGTACCCGCATAAAGGCGAGCGTAAAATGCGCTGTTTTACCGCTCGCGTGAAATTGCGGCGCGCGATCTCGTAATCACGCAGCGAGTTGCATTATATCGTGCGGACAGACGGACGCGGACGGGCGGTGATTTTGCGTGTGACTTTTACGTACGCGCCCCCTGTCTCTTGGCGATAGCTCGGAAAGCGAAAGTATCGCCAATAAGAGCTTCGTTTCTAAACGCGACGAAGAAACGCTGGTTTCTGGCAGATCAATGACACTCACAGAAAAATATCATTCTATTGATTACTCAGTTTATTTTTCTTCTTTTTAAGTAAATAAGGGTCATCTTTAACAAAGAATACTTTCTTGATAATAATCTTAAAATATCACAATATCACATATCAAATTTTAGAAAAATTCATTGTCATGTATCCAAAAAGAGAATTTATCTTCTTCTAAAGATTATAACATTTTATCGAAGAACAGTCAGATTTGATTAATATTTGACAATAAGCAAAATATATGAACTTTTGAAACAACAATTGATATTTACTTAAATACAATATTTTTCTGTATGCAGCCAGAGATACAATTACCGAAGGAACAACTTTCTCGTATTCGTATTTATCGATTTTCGATATTCGAATTTCCCGGATGGTCCTCCTCTTCTTATGAGATACGCCGATACATCCTGTCTACCGATCATTCGTTCACAGTTACCGATCGGAGAATAGGCATATAGGCTTTTACATATCCCTTGTACACCCGTCGATTCTCTTTCTCGTTAGACTCGCATTAGACTCGTATTCGTGATTTCCCAATGCTATCGTCCGCGCGGCGGCGATGCGCTTACGCTATTTTCTACGTACGAAGCTTACGCAGTCTTCACTTATCGTCGGTTCGAGGAGTATACGTATATACGTGTGTACCTACGTGCACGAATGCGGTTGGCACGCGAGAAAATTAATCGCGTCGCGGAAGATCGCGTTTACTCGGGCGCGCTGGGTCGGCCAAGATTGACCTCTGAGTAACGCGGCGCGCCACGAGAAGTGCCGAGTTGCTCGCAAGTGAAAAATGATTTCCTTCTTTCCCGCGGCGATCGCCCCGTGATTTCACATACTTTCCTTTCCAATCTTTTCGTAAAGCACAAGCGTAATAGCGGCGTCTAAAACGAACTTTTCCATATTTCCCTCAGAATAGAATCGAAATTTCGAGTACCACGTTACTTTGCGGAGAAAGACTTGTAACTGTAATTTAACGCGCGAATATTTGTAAAAAAAAAAAGAGATACAAAGATGTATATTTAAATTTCTTCTATATGTTTGAATTTTGCAGAAAAAAAATTTGTATGAAGTAAATTTACAATCGCCGTATGTCTGATTCTCCTTTTCGCTCTTTCTTTCTTTTGTATTCTAGATATCGGTCGACGACGCGGAGTGATATGCTTTCACTGATCCAACAGCGATAATTTCTCATCGTCGGGAAACTTCGACCGACGACGGTTACACTTTGGTGAAAAAAGCGGCGGTGGCATTAGATGACGGCCGAGAAGTCCATTACAGTCACGCCGCGGTGAGGATTTTACGAGCGACACTCTGTCACGCTTGCATGACAAACAGAGTGTCGCTGCAGAATTCGTGTGTGTGTGTGTGTGTGTGTGTGTGTGTGTGCGCGCGCGCGCGCGCGCGCGCGCGAGGCAAGGGGTACCCACGGCGTAATACGGCGGGCAATTATATTTCCACAGCGTATTACATAAACGCGACGAAATAATCAAACGTCGCCCCGCTCGGTCGCTTTCACTCAATAAAGAGATCCATTACGGTTTTAATTATTCTAATAACTGTCGGCTCGATCCGTTATTTGAAAGCGTACCTGAATCTCACCATTGTCATTCCAAACGCATTCGTTCTGTGTACAGACGCGGCGATCCAAAATGAGGAATACATGTGAATATGTTTCCTTAAATTTTACCATTCCAAGAAAAATTATTACCGGAAACTGCTCAGTAGGGATTCGAATTACAGGAATTCGTCAGACAACTCAGCGGAGAGTGTTTTTAAAGGGCATTCTAGAGAATTAACGAGCGTTGTCAATGTGCACGTATTTACATATTGTTAAAAGAATAAAACGATTCCCTTTGAAAGAGAAAATCTTTCTCTTACGTGAAGTGAAATTTTGTGTTCATTGTCATCAATACTATGACTTGAAAAAAGGGAGAATAAGGAAGACGGAAGGACAATCGAGAGAAGAGGGTTCAAATGCCGGCATTTTTAAATTTATGCTGCTGGAAAGTTTGACATTATTAAAAGAATAAGAACATAAATGCGCGATATAGTTTGCACGTTTATATACGTTGCAATGTACACAAAAATCAAAGTATAAATGTATAATAGATGTAAATTTAAACATGCCTGATTTTATCGATCAAAAAGAACGAATGGCTGATTCTTTTCTACGTTTTACTTTGACGACAACGAGACGTCTCGTACGCCACGCAAACAAGCTCGAAGAAGGTTCTTTGCCAGCCGTTCCTCCCGAACAAGAGAACCTTCTCGTCGGCAGGTCAATAACTCTTCGTCCTAGGTACAACCCCTGATTCCCCCTCGTCTCTACGCATCGTGTTCTCACCCCCGAAGGCGGTGGCGGCGGCGGCGACGACGGTGGTGATGGTGATGGTGGTGGTGGTAGTAATGGTGGTGGTGGTGGTGGTGGTGGTGGTGGCGACGGCGACAGCGACCCTTTATCCCGCTTTCTACCAGAATTGGATTTCTGAGCCCATCACGTTAACAATAGACCACTACCTACATCTTAGTCCTCGGTCTGTGAGTTATCTGCGATTAATTATTTGCTCGTCACGTTTATCTTAAGGGGGGAAGAATCGATTTGCCAACTGCTTTGGCAGATATTGCCGAATTTCGATCATCGATTAATCATAGACGATACGCCAACAGCATGTTTATAGGAATTTCCTTCTTATCATAATCGCGCGGCACGCGTGACTCGTCAAGGCGTCATATTATCAATCGTTTATCGTTATACGATACTATAATTCACACGTGCCGACTTCAATAGAGGAGGGGAGGAAGGAGGGGAAGACGTTATTCTCTAACAAGTTAATTGCAAACCATCATCAACATGGCATGGCAACCACTTGATTATAAGAAACTGGCAAATATTCCGATTACGTGTTGTTCGAGCGAAGAGGAGAAATAGACGTCTGGCTGGCTCTATTTAGAAACACTTTACCTCGCACGCGATCGGAAAAGAACGAAAAGGCAAGAGATTCATGTTGCGCACTGGCGTGTCGTGCGTACATACGCGCGTGCGTGCGATTGCGCAAGCACACGCGTTTTACATCGCACATCCCGATATTCCGTCGCGTAAGACGCGCGCTCTACGATATTTCGAGAAAAATTTTCACCCGCGAAAGTAGCTCCTCCGGAGTTAAAAATAGCGAGAGAAATGCTCTTCTAATACGTTTAAATTTCATTCTTATATAAAAATTTCAGGCTCGATTATAAATCAGGTTGCGATTATAAATCATTCCGCGATAATAAATTATGTCTACAACAACGTCAGAAATGTAACGTTATTAGGGAAAGAAGAGAGCCTAAGTGCGTTTCACGACATGAATAAACATAAATAAACGTAAATTTATTCATAGCGAATGAAAGCGATCGAATTATTATTCCCTAATTATTATTTGCTTATTATTATAATTACGTAACGCGCCTTTTTTTTTTACCAGATACATAAAATACCTTTCGTTCGCACGTGTTCGCGTCTTATGAAAACTTTCGAAAATACGTTTTCAATACAATGATCTTATTCATACTTTTCTCGACAATCCGCTTCGACGAATAAAGGCGAAAGCGTGCGCTCCACTTTGATTTCTGATCCAATTTTTGAGGGGGCAGAAAGATACCGATTCCATAAGTGCGGGCGCACCGAGATGTTTTGCAATCATTTTGCAATCGCGATCCAGGGAAATAGGAACGCATTTTCGGTTCGTTAACCCTGAATGCACGTAATAAACCAGCTGCTGTTGCTTCTGCTGCTGTTGTTGCTGCTGCTATCAACCGACACGCGCCACGGTAAGTTTTAATTCGCGCAACGTCTGATATAATAACATACAGCAACGGTCACCGCGCGATAAGAAAAAAAAAAACGACCTATCCAATTAAGTAATTAAACGCACAACTATGTTGCGCGGCGCGGCATGTCACGCAAGTGTTACGCTACTAGGAATCAAGCCACTATTCGTGGCTGCGAACCTTGATTAGCTTCGCTGAGCTATTCATTATCAGATTAATGCGACACATCTGAAACCTGTCGGATATAAATGTCAATCACGATCATCGCGTAATTATATCACAGGTATATCACCGGTACCAATAAAAATAAATACCGGTCTGTGTTGGAGGAGACGCGGACGAGACGTGTCTCAATTAACGTTACCGTCTATCTCCAGCCTCGTAGCGGATCGGACATTTCGGGTATTATATGAATCTTATTCAGGTTCATCCTTATATTAGGTAAGTAGAACTGAAGTGGAGAAGTAGTACACGAGCATATCGGCGGAATGTGGCA